GTTCGTCTTGTAACCATACTTCACCGGTAATAGAACGACGTTGTCTTGGTAACCCTTTTAAATTTCCGGGTAAATCACTATATTCCAAAATTTTTTGAATTCGTAACTGATAATATCCATCATGATTTTTTAAAATTGATCTTAATCTTCCAAGTTTTTTTTGACCATTATCATCATGATAGTAAACAAAATCACCAGATCGGTACAATACTATTTATTAAAAATAAGGATGATCTTAACGCTCACCAGGGGTGAAATTCACCAGGGGTGAATTCACCAGGGTAAAATTCACCACAGGTAAAATTCACCAGAAATAAAATATTACGTAATTTAAATTTTTATTTTTAAAAAAATAAAAAAACAAAAAAAAAACAAAACAAAAAAAAAATTTTTAAAATTCCAATTTTTAACATGGCATTATACTATCATCAAAAATATAATAAAAAGTACAATTTAAATGAATAAAAACGTGTAGAATTTTCTCCTCTTTCTAATGAATATTTTATTATGATTATTGAGTAAAAAATGATTAAGTTTCATTAGAAGCAATGAATTAAAAAAAAAATTTTCGGAAAAGACTTCACCCACCTGTGGACAGCAGTTCTTTATATAGATTTTTCTCTTCCCCCTAAAAAACGTATCGCAACATTGTACAATTTCACGTTCGCTCTAATTAAGTAATACGTAACGCAATTAAATTATTAATTAGTATAATGCGCATATATATATTACTTTATCAACTATTAGATAATCAAATGATCTAACGAACCTATATATATCATGCACTGCATCTTATCGTTACATTAACATCACACTTGCTGTCTTACTCTCTTATACTTGGACATTTCTTTTGATAATGTCCCGGTTTTTTGCATAACAAACATTTTCGTTGCGACTTTGATGTTCCTCCACTATCATCAGTCTCTTGTACATTAACATGATTTGAAGTTTCATGCATTACCTTTTTTCTTCCCATCACTTCAATACTACTCTTTATTCTTTTTTTACAAGGAGCTCCCCGAATTTTAGTAACATAAGGATCTGCTGTTATATCAATTAGTTGTTGTTGTAAAGGAAGTATATTATTTTGATTTTCGTCATGTTCAATATTTTCTACTTCCATATTATTTTCTAAATCAACTGCATTTCGACTTCTTTGTTTAGTTGAAATAAAATCTCTTAACAATTTTACTAATTCGTTATCACATCCAGTTTCTAATGCAATATTAATTGCAGTCTTTGCAGTTGAAAATGCTACTCCAAATTTATTTTTTTTAGGAATAATTTGTTGAATAATTTCATTATTATAAGATCCTTGAAAATGCTTTTTCAAACTTTGAAGAGTAAAATTTACTGTATGTAGCATTGCTGTATCAGATGATTCTACTGCTGTAAGAACAGATGAATTTTCAAGTATACTACTACTTAATTTCGTTAAAATATCATCTTTGTACTATCTAATAGGAATAATACTAATATGAAATTTTGCTGTATTAGAATCACTGGTCAAAAACCAATATATCGGGTACATATCTGATACATATCTGCTACTGATATATTGGTTTTTGACCAGTGAATAAAGCATAATTCTCTAAAAATGGCGGCAAATTATTCCTTTTGTAATTGTTTCCAAACAAATACAAATATGTGATCCATCATTAAAAAGAATTACTAAATTTTCTTTTTGAGAAATACCTCCTACTCGACGAATTTTCTAAGTTTCAACAATATTTGATGTATCCATATCATTTAATATAGATTTTAACATTACTTGTGGTTCATCTACTATATCTTCTACAAAATTATCATCTGGAGTATCAGAAGGTGAGTTCTGTAATGAAAAATAATGTTTTTTATTTATAAATGTTAATCAATATCAATAGTTTTATTTTTTAAGAAATAATACATACATCAAATGAACAAGATATTAATTGCCCTTCATAAGTAAATGATTGTAAAATTTGAAAACGTTGTAAAGATAATATAAGAGGAGTTAAGAATTCAACAATAACTGTGTCAACATCTGAAAAAAATTGAGAAGAAAGATGTGAAAGTCCAACTGTTGTATACTTTGCTTTAAGATCTGTTAATTGACAATATCTAATTTCTTCTTCATGTCTCTTATTTATAGCTTCTTCCACCTCACAAAGTGTATTTATACTATTTAAAGACCTTTTAATAATACCATTAAACGATTCTACACTTTGGGTACTTTGTATACCACCATTAAATTGGAATGGCATATATGCTTTAGCCCAACTAATTCTATTATTATATAATATTCTAGTTATATAACGTTCACAGTTTGGAAATGATTTTATCATAAATTCCCAACGTTGCTCAAAAATCTCTATACATAATGCATTTCTACATGCATAGAAAACTTTACTAAAATTACTAAAGTTTTCACCTAATTTGGATTTAAGATGCTTTATAATATTCTGCCATATATGGAACATACAATAAAAATGTGGTATATTTGGAAAAACTTGAGCAACAGCATTAATTAATCCAGGTTCAAAATCAGTCCAAAATGATTTTGGAATTATATTGCTAGTTGTTTTTACCAAACATTGTAAAATCCAAGTGTATGTTGAAGAAAATTCATCTTCTATTAAAACATTTGCCACATTGCAAAATCTTCTATAGTTATCTTTTATCATAAATACACTTAAGTACATATTATACTTGTTAGTTTTATAAGTATTATTATTTAATACTATATCAGAAAATCGCCTATACAATTCTAGTTGACTGGGAGATATCCAAAATATACCTGATAGGTGATTTTTACTACCAGTATGATGAACAAAAACTTTCTAACGTGGGTCTTGAGTCATTTTTTCAAATAAGATATCAAGAAATAATAAAGAGTCAGGTCTTTCATTTTTATTATTCTGGCATAAATTATAAATAGCATTATAAACGTCTTGTTTATGAAATACATGTTCTGGATACTTTCTTTTAAGAATTTCTAGTTGTATAATAGGTGCAACTTTGCAATTCAAAAAAATTTTAAGTCTTTTATCATTTCGTTATTAAAACGTCTATATCTAGCAATAATATAAGGTAATTGGGTAGGGTTTACTTCATGATTATGTATATCTTTTAATGATATACATTTTACTTGATTTGCCGTTTTTGGAAATGAGAAGTTGCAGTGCCACTCACAATTTGTCTTTATAGTACCACGTAAACGATGCAATTTCTGATCTATTACTTTTCTGGATTCATATTTTCCATTTGAAGAACAACAAAATGATTTACGTCGTATAATAGTAAAATCATTTTGATCTTTATCATTTCGATAAACTTGATATCCAAACCCTCTTTCTAAACAATATTGATGCATAAATGTATCAACTGATTGCCAATTATCAAAATAATCTCCTACAGTAAGATTATATTGATAAATCTGTTCAGATAATGATTCAAAATGTTCTTCAAAAGGTAGTTCAAAAGGAGTTTCACAAGAAGGTTCAGAAGAAGGTTCAGAAGATAACTCTAAAGAAGGCTCAGAAAGTAACTCTAAAGAAGGGTTAATAGATGGTTTAGAAGGTGTTTCAAGAGAAAAACTATCTATGTTTGTAAAATTATGATTAAAATCTGGTTCAACAACTGGTAAAAAATTTATAGCAAAATTATCATTAAATGGTGATAATAATAAGTCTAAAGTTTCAGAATATGGTGAAAAAAATGCATTTGTCTTATATATATCTTTATTATAATCATTAGAATCCTCCATATTGTTTATATTGTTTAAAGAAAATAAAAACAAAAAAAGAAAAATGGCGTTCTAAGGCTAAAAGTTTGTTTATACATTATGTAAATTAGGGTAAATTCACCGAAGGTGAATTTCACCATAAAATTTTAAAAATTCAATGTAACACATGTATGTAATACATGTAAATCAAGGTGAAATTCACCATTAAATTACTAAAATTTGGTATTTTAATAAAAACTTATAAAAATTAAAGTGAATTTCACTACTGATGAATTAATTTTAAATTAACCACTGGTGAATATAAAATTAATCTATTTAATTAATTTATTTTTTGTGGGTCCTGTGGATGCCTTGTGAAGAAAGAGAGGCATTTATGCTAAGAATGGCCATTTCAAAATGAACCATACCCTCTGAGCAAAAATTCCACCTGACAGTGCACACGTGGAGTGCTTTCACAGGTCGAAAAGTGAAAAATCAGGCACCAATCGGTGCCTGATTGGCATTTTCGCCAAATACCGTCACCAATTAGGCAGTTTGCTAACTTTTGATCCAGTGATCAGAAAAGGATGAAATATAGCTCATTGGAATCGTCTCAACATGACGAATCTAATGGTAGTAAAATCGCATTTCTAGGATTAATACTTGATGAAAAATTAAGTAAAATATAAAAATAAAAATGTATCATTTATATTTTATTTAATTTTTTATTAACTATTAATCCTTGAGATGCGATTTTACTTCCATTAGATTCGTCTTGTTGAGACGATTCCAATGAGCTATATTTCATTCTTTTCTGATCACTGGATCAAAAGTTAGCAAACTGCCTGATTGGTGACGGTATTTGGCGAAAATGCTAATCAGTCACCAATCGGTCACCAATTAGGTACCTGATTGGTGACCGATTGATGACTGATTGATGCCTGATTTTTTCCTTTTCAACCTGTGTTTAGACATGACGAGTGGTTTGGTAGTTAATAATATTAGATAGTATAGATTAGTTTTTATTTACTTCATGTAATTTACAAATCTTCTTTCTGTTTAATAAACTATCAAATGCATTGCAAAAAAAAAAAAAAAAAATTAATTTATTTTTTTTTATGTAAAATTTCCAGAAAAAAAATCATGACTGTTGCATTTGTTAGGATTTTTTCAATAATAATATTATTATTAGAATATTACAATGTTGTTTAATTATATGTAAATTTATTAGAAAATAAAATATTAGGAATGCTGTAATTATGCCGAAATTCATATAAAATAATATTATTATTATGCCAAAACTACGAATAAACTCGTTATAAAGGTTTCGCAAATTTTGGCAGTTTTGCAAGTTTCAGCAGTTTTGCAGTTTCGCAATTACGGCACTATATGTGGAGTTTCTCATTTCAGCATTAGGCCAAATAGGTTTCGGCAAGCAACCTTAGTTGTTTCATTCCGTTTTTACAAATTATTATATACAAATTTCTTAATAAAAATAAGTTGAACCTTTCACAATAGAAAAAAAATCGTTAATGTTCCTTACTAAATAAAACACTTTATGATGATGGTATATACTATATAATTCTCGAATATTCTGATGAATAATCACTCTCAACATACACCCACCTGCCAAAAGTATCCAGACACACTGGTCAAAATTGATGCTATCGGGTACATATCGGGTACCTATATATCAGTGACTAATCAGATACATATCGGACATTTATTACATATCGGGTACCCGATATGTAACATATCAAATATGCCTAAAAATCGGATTCCCGATATCTAAACGATTAGTCACTGATATGTAATACTGAATCAATCTTACACATATCGGGTACCGATATGCAAAATATTTATTTATTGTATTTGTATTATATAATTCAAAGAGGTATATTAAAATTATTACTAAAAAAAGTATTTTAATATTAAAGATAATCGTTTATTCATATAAAACCCCTTATTTTCAATTTTTTTTTATTTTTTCTGATATCACGAATAACTGACGAAAATATTAAAAATATACATATTTTATTTTAAAATTAATTGGATTGAATGTTCAAATTAA